CTTAATATCGTTCGAAAAAATCGATACGTCTTAATAAAACAATCGACTTGTATGGTTTTGTTTTCCTCGAAAACCCCAAAACGTATAGATACTTCAATCGTCTTTCAAGTAATTACGAATTAAATTCGCGTATAATGTATATTATTACGGACCTTAGAAAAACAACATAATACGTAATTCGTATACGATATACGTTCGGCTTATCCCGGGAACTTGTTTTTCGTGTTTTGTAAGGAAAATGTTTTTTTTTTTATTATTATTATTATTTAAGAACATTGTAAGCACACAAAGTGAATTATTATTATTATTTTTTTTTTTATCATACAATTGTTTTGAGATCAGTTCAATTTGTTCGACGTTACAATGTTATAGATGATACAAACGAAAGTATTAATACATGACATTCTCCAGCACTGCGGTTTTACCTAATGCCTACTTAAATTAAACCGAAACACTGAATAAGTCGTACATCAAGTGGGCAAATCGTACTACTTCACTGTATTTTGTTTATGCTGCACATTTACAGAGACGATACAAATGATAATGCAGAAGGTACGCTCGATAGAAACAATTACAATTATTACGTATCACGTTATCTTTCATGTTATCAAAATATTATGCGTGTTCATCAGTGATATAAATATCAATATGATTGGTACAATTCTTCCCTTAGGATTTTTTATAGATACCTACTGCAGCTGCCTTTATTCCCATTTAATCGTTCGCCTATATAGTTGTTCAATCTCTAATCAAATTCATATTTTTTTTTATTTTTTTTTTCTTAAGTTTATACACAAAATAATTATTGCGTACAAAATAAAACGAAAGACGGATTATTACTATAATAATAATTATAATCAAACGGAGCTATTCTCGAAAAGTTTTCATTATTATTGAATCTAAGAAGTTTAATACAAAAATACGCGAGTAATTTCACAAAGAAGTTCGGATGTATTTTTTTTATATGCATTTAATTAAATTAATTTCGTTTGAAATTAATAGTATAAACGTAATTATATTATAATGAACGACTATTTCGAGAAAATGTATCATATTTTATGTTTGTTTGAGAACCGAGGAAATAAAATTTCATTCTCCCAGTCGGAGATTATGAAAATAAAATATACCCGTAATAGGTGTTATTATTATATGCATACGTGCGAGTAAATTTTAAAACTAAAGACGGTTTCGTATGTCGAATGAAAAATCATAAAGTACAAACGTTCAGGACGAAAACCGCGTTTATTTGGTAATTTCTCGGCGGAATTTCGTTAGTTAATTATATTATTATAATAATTCAATTTGTGTTTATCGCACGGGCTTTTCCGCACTTTATGTCCGCCGCGCGTTTGATTAATTTCAAGTAACTAATTCTACTCTATATGCTATATGGCTATATCCTATCTCCCGGTGAAGTTATTTCCGGAATATAATAATCATTATCGAAAGAACCCGGGATCGTTTATTATAATATATAATATGTATTTTTTATTTTTCTATGGCCGTCGAGATCATTTTACCATTCTCCTTTGTCCATCACGATCTTTCGATATCTCCCGCCAACTTAAATTCCCGTGTTCCGATACCGAGAAGTCTTCGGGATCCTTCTCGACGAAGTCGTTATCTTCCAATTTATGATTACCCGATTTACCGGAAAGAGAAATATCAGATCCCATCCGTCTCCCTGAAATCGTTCTCCAGCTTTTTGTAAAGCTTGTAAGCCCAAATTCTGCACAGGGAAAATAATTTCCCTACTTGAATTTTTCGGCATAGACTCTCTGGAGACAACTTATAACTCTATATTGCTATAATATAATATTCCATGCCCTTAATTATTTTTCTTTTTTCTTTTAACCGTACGATTTATCGTGTAAGTTAATGCCTAGACGACAATGTTTTTCCTCCTCCGATGATTATAATATTATAATAGATATTATCTCGTATAATAATACATTATTTAATTTGGTATCTGTACCGTGTGACACGAGATAGTGCAGGACTGCAACTGTATTATAATTTTACGTTGTAATTTGTTTTGCATCCATAAATAATATTTCGCAGTCTTATTTATACTTCGTAAAACCCATGATGCCTATTTTTTTTTTTTTTTTTTTTTTTTTACTGTATTACGCAATGCCGTTAAGAATAATAAAATGTTTACTTTTTTTCATATTCAGTATAAATTTCTCACGCGTTTACGTCGCGTAGTCGTGAAATAAACATTATTTGTGTAACCGTTTCGTATACCTATATTTGAAACAACACTTGTTACATATATATTCCGCCATCGTGAAAATACATTTTGATACTATCGGACGTATTAAGATACGTAAAATTGTATGCGTTTTAATGTTAAAGACGATTTCTGACTATTTCGTAATTTTTTTTTTTAATTGAAATTCAAAAACGCGTTCAACATTAACTTAATATAGCTGTACCTCGATAAAATTTTTTGACGAAATAAAACAAACTTTAACTCAACGGCGATGATGCACTAGGCGAACATGCCAATTTATCTTTACATGAACAAATTCGCCCGGTTTTTTTCATCTTCATACCACTTGTTCCTCTTAAGATAGGCTTTTAAAATGTGAAGCGTAGATTAGGCTTAAGTAGCTTAACTAAGTACCTTAAGACACTGTACCGAATTGTGACCTTAATATTAGGACTTTCCAAAAAGGAAGACTTTCAAAACATATATTTTTGTCACCCGCTGATTACCGACTAGCTTACTCATCTTTAAAAATATAAGGTGGGTATATATTTGGAGTTAACTAAAGGGAAAAATCTGAAAACTGAGATTTTCTCAAAAATTCGCAGTGGCAAATATCCATCAATCTAAAAAAAATGTATTATTTCATTGAAATGTTTCACATTAAAATTTAAATTTAGATCATTCAATTATTTAAACTTTTTCCGAATTCAATTGCTCAAGTTTAATAGGTTTTATTTATAAATAACGTGTTTATCTCTACCGTCGAAACTAACGTAATTTTTCAAACAGTGTACTTGGTTTCTGTTTCTCTCCGACATATATATATATATATATATATATATATTTCTTCCAATGCTATGGTTTATGGACTGAAAAGAAAGAAATGGCAGACTTGGCCATAATGTAGATTTCATTTTTTATAGGCCGACTTTCTCGGGAGAGGCCTGTGACCTGGTCCTTTTGTTTGCGGTTAGGTTTTTGTTAACGGTTAACATTTTTTTTTTCTACAAACTTTTAACTGTAAGGGTTTGTTTATGTTTACCTAATTTAATTCAACTAGATCGAGTTAATTATTTTCATTTTAACACATCACCTCCCCCCTCCTCTTTTGAACTGTTGTAATATATTTCTCGTGTATATATGGATATGCTCGTCAAGTCAACTGCACTTTTATACAAATATTCACCACTGCACTTATTGACAATAGGACCCAATAGAATACGGTATAATCACGGTGTATAATTTGAAAAGGTTTATCATTATATTGTAGGTAATAAATTACTATACAAAATAATATGTTAATTATTATTCATAAACTATTTTTATTTTTTTAGAATGTGGTTCGTCCAGCAGTTGCATACAACAATGCAACATTAACGAGGACGTCACTGATAAAACAGATGGTCCGTGCCCGTGTAATTTGTACAAAAACCATTCGACGCCAATAGGTAAGTCTTAAAAAATTTTCGTTATTTATTGGAATTGTATTTTTCGAAAACGTGTAGTTTAATACTTATAGTTTGGTAAAACGGCAAAAAGATGTTCATATTAATACAACAATACGGTTTTAATAGGTATATATAGGTAAAAGAAAAAAAAACCATCATATCACGGTATAATATAATTTATTATTACAATATAAATATACGTTTTCTTACGAAACAGTAATTATAAAATTTAAATAAGTTTTAAAAAAAATCAATATTTTTTTGTTGAATATGACTGTATAATCTTATATATATATATATATATATATATATATAAAAAAAAATGAAGCAAAACAAATTAGTTTGATTTAAATTATACAATTCCGTTGTTTAGATTTAAATACAAATAAAATGGAAAATATTATTCAAGTTTGTAGTGTGTGTATATTATTCAAACGTCGGGTCTTATCGAAAAGAGTTTTAAATATAGTATACATATCACTGTTATATAAAAAAAAATAACGAATTCTTCCTTCATTATTAAAGGCCATTCGCATTTATATTTGTATACTATTCGAAATAATCAACTTCAGATTTTTTTTGTGATACATCAGACACAATTACGAACACGTCGGTCTATTACGGAATTAAAATTTTCTGCGTTAAATATTTCACAAAATAAGGAATCAGTTTTGATCAGTCAGTTTGGAAAAAGGCCAGAATCAAATGTTGTTTTATCTTTTGCTAAATCCCTGATGGCTTGTGTAAAATCTTGTTTTTTTTTTTTTTATTATTCCACAATATTCGATTAACTAGACAAAAGTCATGACCGTACGCAATATTTTTTTCGGGAAAATAATTAATCGGAAAATATTTTGTCGGAACTGTTCAATATAATTATGATGAATAAGCACTCCGAGACTGCATGTTATCGACGTTGGGTAAAAATTATTTTCCGATTATATAATTTTCCAACAAAGATACGTTTTTGCCTAAAAAAGGTTCCGAAAAAATACGGTTCTGACAAAATATCTTCCAATATATATATGTTTATCAGTGACGGAGCTCTGCTGCACACACACGTGTTTTTCTCGCCCGTTCGGAAATCGACATATTGCAATAATACGCTGCAATATAATAATATACTCGTGTGAATTGTAATTTTTCCTTCCCCCCATTTTTTTATTTTTGTTCCGGTACAAAGCATTTTATTTGTTATACGCTATATGAGCGACGATGAATTCTTTACTGCGGGATCATTATTGTTATTGTTATTATAAACGTGTTCTTGTTTGTATATAATTATAAAAAAAAAAAAAAAACACGATCGGCGAATAATACAAAGACCGGTACTCAATAATAACGTCTGTAGGTCGGTAGGTATATACACCTAACTGTATTTTTTGTTTGCAGTATTATTTCAAACCCGAATAAACATTGCGCTTTGATATCGCTCATAAAATATGAATTTTACGGGTATTCTGACATTTTACAGTACCTTTGTACATATATAGGTGTATAATCCAAACTTTAGATTCTTCAATGGGCGGTCACGTGTTCCTTCTGTTTTCTATGTGTGTATGTGTGTATGTGTGTGCGCGCGCACACATTTTAACATTTATGTATTTTCGTTTTTGTCAAGATCACAAAACAAAATAAATAAATAATAATAATAAAACAAAAAAAACAAAGACGGATTTATATCAAAAATGTATAATGCCTGCCTGCTTACGATAAAATGCGATATATATTATTATTTTTTTTTTATTATTACTATTCGTTAGTTTTCAACGGATTCAATCTCGGAAGCATTTTCTTTTGTGAATATGTAAAACTCAACTACTTGACGCGATTTAGGCTGCCGACGGAAAAAATAAATAAACACAAAAATCTTCGCTAAAAATTAAATGCTAAATTCAATTTACTTATCGTAGTCGTAAATAATAAATAATTCGTTACTATACAAACAATTTATATTGTAAACACAAATTATAAACTGTCATGATGGAAGACTATACATTGTATTTTTATTTCTGGAAATATTAATTATACTTACGCAGTATTATTAAAAAATGTTTTATGTTCTAAAAATATTGTCTTTGTTTTAAACGTATTTTAAATTTCAGGCATTTGTACCGAACAAAAAAAAAAAAATAAATATTATAGTAATAATATAAAATATTATTAGTTTCCATAATAATACAAAGTTTTTTTTTCCTTCAAAAATACCTCTTTTCTTCTTTATTCGGTAGCATAAACGATGATGAAAAGCCGGGCTGTATAATTTTACATTGGGGTACATAGTCTACTGTATTCTTATAGTGGATCACTACAGACACACTGCAAGCAGCCTGGTGTATTTTATTATTGTTTTATAAAACTGTAAATAAAAATTAAATTATATTTCATTTAAAAAAAAAAAAAAAAAAAAAAAGGGAAAAGGGCTCTGAGTATATATCGTGTAAGCTACTATACGGAGGATACAATTTTAACGCTCTTATGTATTTCTTATCGGTTTTTTATTTTCTTTACAATTTCTGTTCAAAAACTATTCAAAAATTACTTTAGTTCCATTACTTTTACATAGAAAATATTCGGTCCAGATAAGTGTTTTCTCAAATTAAAATAGCAATATAAACAAACACATACTCGTATTATCTTATGAAGCTTCTCGAAAAGAATAATTAACCAGTCATTTTTAGGCTTCCGAGTATACATGTAAATCGTATGGTTCTGTTGTTTCTCTTCCTTTACCTAAAATATGCAGCCTAAGTAATACCAACGTAAAAAAAAAAATGTACTAAATTCACCCCGACCATTCTTTATGAGTGAATACAGAGGTGGCCAAAAGTCGCGCAACGCCTACCGTCTTGTATGGCATCTGTTCATACACCATAATCGGTCCTTACTTTCACAACGGCACGGTAAACAGTCCCAAATACCTCGAAATGCTTGAAAAAATCAAGATCGAACTTGATAACAATGATATCTTCCGTGGTAAACGAATTATCTGGCAAATTTTTTGCGTGACTTTTAGCTACCTCTGTACATAAAAACTCTGTTCGTGGAAAACCTACGTCAGTAAAAAGTAAAGTTAGAACTTTTCAAAATCACCCACCTCCCTTCCCCCGGTGATTTGAACACAAGAACTATAATACGAAATAATTTTAATATTTCGGAAGGAAACAAGGTTGACAGCCGTGATATATTGTACCTGTTGTTTTTTTCTGATAACTGCTACCACGAATTCAAATATTATGGATGTCCGACATGCTTTGAAAATAAGGCCGCTAAAATGACTCTGGTTTTATCATCGCTCTGAGCATGCTTACACCTATAGTGAATTGATTTCTTTTTGGTTTCGCCAAAGTATAAAAAATACTTCCTACAGAAATACGTAAAATATGTTTTGTATATTATCGTAATTATATATGCATTATATGTGTATATTTCAAATCTTGTTGTACTTAGAATTTTAATCTCCGATAATAAATTGGAGATTAAAATTCTATTGCTTGGATTGCGATAGTGTCGTAATATAGCTTTTTACACGTATTATTATTCGGTGAGTCGCTCTTATCCGATCACGTCGGCAATACAATATATCACAGCACGTCGAACAGTCCTACGATATTATTATTTTAATAATTTGTGATCGAAATACTTCACAATAGTAATTTCTTAATGTTTAGCGGCTGTGCGGGGAAATGTATAGGCAATTTTAGTGCGTTCTTGCGTTCACTCCGATACGTTGGTATTTTAATAATATTATTATGACATTTTTTTATTTGTCGCTAAAGTTTAACCGGTCGTCTCGAGCAATAATAATAAAGTACTTATAAACGCAATTTCTTCCGTTTATAATTAAATTATTCTACTAGTCATACAATAATATCTTATAAATTGCGTGTATAATTCCGCGGATCGTATATAAGACCAAAATTAATTTCGGCTAACAGTCTTCGGCTGCGCGCTCTATACGAAGAAGTGTATTATGTTTTAATAATAATCGCGCAGTCCGAGAGAGTGTAAAACGCAGTTGTTGTGCGAAATAATATTAATTATATCGCTTTTCTGGTGTTGCGTTTAATTTAAACGTTCTAAAATCGTAATCGACAACAAGCGGTACGCATTGCAAAAATTATATTAATAATGTGCGTTGTATACGAAACGAAGAAAGCTTAACCCCTCATCCCCACCCCAGGATACAGATGCTTAATTTGCTTCGAGATTTTTTTTTTTAAACATAATTTGTTCGTCTTTTTATGGCAGTACTTTGAAAACGACGGATTTAAAAACGCGACGCGCGGGTCACCGTTTAAAAATCATAAGTCGATTCCCGGAACAAAATAAAACCACCCGAAAATCTTTCCGTAGACGGTAATCACTGGATCGCAATAAACCGAAACGCTCTGTATATAGCGTTTGATTTCAGTGGCGTAGCCGGGAACCACGGACGCATGCCCTCCCGCCTCCCGCCCATATTGGTCTTTTTTTTAATGTTGGTTTATATTTTTCATATTTCGTTGATTAATTTTTAAATGTAGTCGAGTAAGTATACCATTTATAACATAAACAGACACACTTGTAATTTAATGTTCGTTCTTTTTTTCGCCCTTCTCTCTAATCAAACAATCCCGTCTGCACCACCGGTCGATATATCGATGCACCTGCATATTATATTTATGTTGTCCCAGCTCCAAAACTACAGTTTTCGTCATTTGACTATAATTTTAAACCTGCACACTGCGCGCGTTTGATCGTTAAAATGTTCGCGGTAAAATAATGATAACGACAATAATGATAATAATAATAATAATTATAATGATAATAATAAGAATAATAACACTCGTGTACGATTTCGAGTTTCGCGCGTGATAAAAGAATAATAATAATGCGGTTTAAACGTGCATTACGTAATAATAATAATATGTTTGGGCGTTTCGTTTCGTCTTGATGACACCCTGAATCCTATTTCAACTTCCGTCTCGAGCTCGTGTATAATATATTTGTACTTAACGGTCTGTTGGTCATTACTATATAATACATATATAAACTGCACCGATTCCGTTTCTAGTCCGATCCGTTTATCGTCCGAACGTATACAATAAATATTTTCCCCATCGCGTACACAACAACCTATACGTATATATAATGATAGTGTAATATAATAGCGTTTTCGAATTGATGCGCTTCGATTTGCTCCGAATACGTATGATTATATGATAACGATATCGCCGAACCGGTGTATAATATTGTTTTTGTTGTTCGATTCGATTTCATTGCCCCGGCGACATTAAATGTACACCTGACTGCAAGTTGTACCGGCGGCGGTGTAAACAATATACTAATTTTAATAGATACTTATCGCGAATTCTAAATGCATTTCAACGACGAAATATCAATTATATCACAAATATTATATCAACCGCAAACGGACAAGAAATGTAAAAACGCAAAAAACCAAATGATAATTTTTTTTTTTTCGAAATTTGTGATATAATTTTAATTGACTTAGTACCAACTAATACAATTTAAGCCAGGTGTATACCAAAGCAGTGCGAAATTGGTGGTTAAGATATTGCATTGGAAATCCATTGAAACATGGCACTTTTTTTCCACTACATTAGTGGCCTTATGTACACCGTTATCGTATACATAATATAAAAAATAAAAGGGAAAATGGAAGATAAAAATTTAAAAATCACGTTATTAATAAAATAAAATAAATATAAATATTAAACATATTACGTTAAATAGAAGAATCGAAAAATGTCAATTGTATAATTTTTAATTACAATATAATTTGTTATTTGTTCTGTCTACATAATATTATATTATTAGAAGGTATAAAATTGTATAATAACAATGTATGAAACAGCTGATAGTAAACCTATTTGGACCTTAATAACGAAAATGTTCAATGTTGATTTTGAACAGCGAAAATAAAACGAACTTTTTTTAACTGAGTTAAGTTAATAATTGTTTGCAATTTAACTTTTAACTAGTTAAATTTATGTTTTGTTAACTATTAACTTTTAACTGAATGCATTTTCGTATATTTAACTTATTTTAAAAATTAGTTAATCATTTTCATTAACTTGTTCGCATTTGACAATAAATGATAATTCCAAGCATTAATTATGTTTATATTTAACTTGCATGTTCACAAGTAGGTATGCCAATATCAAAATAATAATTATAATAATAATAATTATAATAAAATATATATTTATACTCGTATGATTTTAAGCCTATAAAAGTAAAACAAATAAACAAAAAATCGTATACTGTATAAATAACGTATAAACTAAAATACAAAAAATTGTCCTAGGATAATGGGAATGGGTGCAGCCACTGTTATTGATAACTTTATGCATTCCTGTAAGCAACGATAAACCAATGCTTAAGAAAAAACAATTCTGACAAACAAATTCAGTTTAAATTTCATGAGAAAATCGAAAAAATAACCTCTTTAAATTACCTTCTCAGTGAATTTTCGTTTTATAAATATTGCTATCATTATAAATTGGAGCAAAATTGCTGGTAGAAAAGCTGTGCACAAGAAAAAAAAATGTAATATTTTAGTAATATATTTCGTACTTATTCCCGTTTTATTTTCGGTTTTTCGCATGTAGTGAGAATACTATTGAGAAAATCGAAAAATGATCTCCTAAAAATACTTCCCCACTTCGATTTCTTTCGATAAAAGATGCTGCACTTTAAAATCTGAGTAGGTCTTTTGGTAGTCAAGTTGCGCACAAATAATAATAAAAAAAAAAAACATCTTTGTAAAACTATAAGCTCCTTCGCTACACTCAGAATCTAAAATATAATATAGTTGTAAGTGTAATTTTTTCTCTGTTTTCTTTTATCGAAATAGCCAATGACTTTGTCAGTGAAACATCAATGTTTTGATGAACATTTAGTGGATCCCTAAAACAGCTAGACTTTCTTCTCACGTTCTGTTTCTAAGCCGCACATTTCGTGTTTTTAAAGTCGAAAAACTTTTTTCTTCTGATGATACGGTCTCGTTCGGGATTTGAATTAAAAATATTACACCATTAGGATATATTTTATAACATCAAATTATCATTATCGTTCGTATTGGTTTTGCTACGTTTGAATTTCCATAATTATTCAACTTTGGATTTCCAAGACTCGTAGTCTCAAGTTATTTTATTATTATTATTATATTTATGATATTTAGTATTGTGATATTATTAAACTGTTGTACGTGCTGACGGTTTTCAATGTAACTTTTCGAAAAACGTTATTGTGGTCGTCATGACCGAGACACCGCCCCTACTATTACGCGCGTCTACTTTCCGCGTCGTTTAACCAAACATCCTGACACGTGGAAGACTAATGTCGGTCGTGTTCGACGAAACGAACATTCGCGTTGGGGGCTATCGCTTAGCCATCGCCGATACAATATGTGTATATAGTGAGTGTATCTGAAAGGTTTGACAATTTTCTATGTAATGGCACAGGGAATTGTTAAATTCTGCAGATACACCCTGTTTATATCATCGATAATATTAACAGTAATCGTGTTTTTTGAAATTGTATTAGTGTTCCCGTAACGGCCGGAAGAATAATATTATATTTTCTACATGACGACGGCCGTGTAGTGTAAATTATTTATCGTTCGCTAAAATAATGATTTTATAATGTATTATACAGAGTCGTGGATTTGTTCCAAATGCATTTTATTTAAGACAAACGGAAGAATATATTGGTTTAACTGTGTTTTTTTTCTTTTTAAGATAACACTTTTTTTGTGTTTGTAAACATTTTTTCTAAAATAAATCCTTGTCTGATTAAAAACTCAACAAAGAAACTTTTCTGTAGCAATTTTTGATGCATTGTAAGGGAAGCATTTTTTTTTTTAAATTGTATAAGTTTTTAAGTTTTCTTAATAAATGGGAAACCTGCTAATTTTATGTTTAATTTTTTATTTTTGGTAGCTGGTTTATTTTAGCAACACGGGAAAATATTCGACGTATGGTACTCTGGTCAAATTCACTTTTTTCCTTATTAATGGTTAATCGTTGCGTACAGATGTAAATCAAATTACTCTATAAATCCTCCCTTAACACTTTTCTCTTATAACAGTGACTCACTCATCGGTGGTATTTTAGCCTTCCTTTATAATTTATTTGTGATTCATAGATTTCATAAAGTTCACAATTCGAAGAATTTTATAATATTTTAAAATATTTGGAAATTATTATTATTATTATTTTTTTTTTTTTTTAGGTATTTTCTTTCTGTTTTATGCATTCTTTAGTATTATTTTTTAATGAATTTAAGTAAAATAAAGTTAAATTGCAGTTCACGTTTTTTTTTTGTACACATTATATATTTGTATTGCTATGTTTTGGCAGAAATTTTTATTTTCTTCTGAAACTTTACAAATTATTATTGCCCGAGAATATCAGAAAATAATAATATATTATATATGTTTGGTTGAAAAAAAAACCACCTAACAAACGAAAATCCTTATAATTTCAACATTTTCATTAAGTATCCTTCTATTCGGTTTCACCATTGAATACAGAATCAGCCTATCTACCTATCCATGTTTTCTGCAGGTTCTCTTCTTTCTAGCTCTGCTGCCTTAATGCTCATGTTTAAAAGAATCCTCCTGCCTAAATCTTGGATCTTCCTTAAGACATATTCCCTACGAGGTCCTTCTCAATCGGCCGTTTATCTAAAAATATCTCCACTTTTGTGGGCATGGCACACTCACATTAGTCATTCTTTCAGGAGTAGGTTAACACTTGTATCAGATATGTAGTTTCTATTGTTGGTTACGAATATCTACGACCAATCAATAGATTTTTGTGTACAATATCTCAATTTTTTTTTTTAATTGGTTTTTTGATTTGTTTTTTTTCCCGCAGAGTTGGCTAAACTATCAATTTTACTCGCCAAATAATAACTTGACTTCGGTAAAGCCTACACTCGACCACGTGTTTATTATTATACGTAGTACACCGCAACTACTATAGCAAGAAATGCTACAACAACGACCATGTCCGGATAATTATTTTACCCACCTTTGTAGTAGTTTATTATTATTATGATATTAATTAATAATTTGCCGCAGTCTCTGTCGGACCAGCGGTGAGAAACGAAAAGGCTCCGCGAATAGATATAACCGCACCGCGTTTTTGGAGCTAGCTGACAGCAACCACTGCTGCGGTTATTTTGGTATAATATCAGATTTTATTTTTTAGGAAATGACCTTTGGCGGCAGTCGTTCGCTTAAACGCACAACGCCTGGACGGAAGGACGACAATGGTGCGGGCGTACCCGGCTGATAACCTTTGTCACCGCGTATACCGTTGGTCGTACATACCTACCTTACCTATTTATACCGGATGTACCTAACATTATATTTTGTCACGCGTCCATTTGTCGTGTGTCGTGTGCTGGAAAGTAAGCATGAGGGAAGTTCGGTTGGCAAACACACAAACGACTACACGTTACGGTTAACAAACCTAAACACACCCCATCTCCTCCCTTCACCATCCATTACGACCTTCCCCTCGGCCCTGCTGGTGTGTACTATTATCGCTCGTAGGTCGTATATTATTATTGTTTACCGGGGTCAGACGGGTTTATCTTATTTCCGTATACGTACATATTCACATATATTTCTTGGGATTTCTCGTCGTGTTGGACCTGCGTTTGTGGACCTCCTCCAATTAGTTATGTATGGTACTTACGACAAAATGTTTTCCACAGAATACCTACAGAACATTTTGTTAACAGTTGCTGTATAATACATCCCTCCTACTCGTGAATCGTGAAAAGTTCATTTAGAACTCTACAGAATAGCTAAAATGTATAGTGTAGGTACCTATTAATGATGCCTATTTTATTATCCAGATTTGAACAAACAGGATAAACTGTATATCTATATCCGTTTATTCGAAATTCGAATTATTTGGATAATCCAGATAATTCGAATAATTGCATAATAATTCAGAAATTACATTATTAATTTTAAACAATATAGGTATCTTTAAATGATTAATTCATTGTATATTATTGATACAAATTTAATTTTTTAGAAGATTATATGCCCCTCCCATATTTGCACCACTGCAGTTAATTAAAGACATTCGAATTATCCGGTTAATCCGAATAAAATTAATTTCAATATTTGGTTTCGGATATCCAGATTATATTGGAATCCGGATGTATCTGACATCGCTAGTATCTATACTTATTATTAGAACCTGGTTCTGTATGAAAGGCGAGGCAAGTTATTAATTGAATAATAAATATTTGACGTGATTAAGTTGATTTAAAAAAAAGTTAACTTCTTAATTGTTTTATAAATCAGCTTGAATTATTATTTTTGTTTTGTTAAATTGTAGTCGTCATTTATCAAATTATATTTGTTTTAAACTCCACTCACTTTATTTAGCTAAAAAAAAAAAAAAATACATTAGTTATAAATGGCGATGTAAAGATTGAGATGTGTGTACGTATATGATTGAGATTGATGTAAGAGAATGTGAAATTAGCTTAACGCGATTTAATTCAAAATAAACACGTTGTACATTTAATTGATGTAGAATTAACACTATATACTCAAGTGTTAAAAGTTAAAATTAACTACTCGAATTCGAGAAAAAAAGGCGTAGGTTGTTCAAATATATACGTTAAATTAAGCTCTAGATATTCGTTTGATTTTTTTGTTTTGTTTTTTTTTTTTTTTTTTTTGCGATATGTCTCAATGTCTGTATTAGTTTAAAAAACTTTTTGTAAATTCAGTGTTATGCATCGTCGAGCCATTCCAAATACCAGTATATTTTAATTATTGACACTACTCTGATTTTCTTATAATTTTGAGATTTTAATTATAGTGTACGCCGTTTCATATTATACATTCCGCATGTGCATGGACAACATAATATTATTATAATAACTCTACGGGGAGTTGAAAAACAAAATCCTTTTCGGTTTTGAAACATATAGGTACATATAGGTATGTATTATATTATCAATCAAACTCGAGACGTTGTACGCCTTAAGAACTTTCAAAGTTCACGTACGCAGGTATATTAAATATAATTGAACGCGAACGCGAATAACCGTTAAACGGATCGAACTTTCGTTTCGTTTGGATAATTCATTGAAGTGTGCACTAGCGCGTGTGTTATACTATCGTATTTATACGTTTCGGCTTAGATAATTATTATTTTCGTCGGAAATTCATTATATTTACAAAATTTCGTTGTACATTTATTATTACGAAAACATACGCGTAAAAGATGGACGTCGTCGAGTAAAGTTATGCATTATGCATTTATATATATACAGATATTGCATAGTATATAAGTTTGCATGTATAAATGCATCCGTAATTTATTATACATATTTAGTCTTCCGCATTTTATTATATACGTATAAACGCGCGCGTGTATTCATCACGTTAATTTCCCATACTGTGTTGCGATTTTCAGAGCTCTCGCAGTCCGTGTTACACTATTCGCCATAAAACAATATTAATAAAAATATAATTTCGCTAATGCATTTTAAGATATGACGTTTGATCTAATAGCATCCGTGTTTTACGCATGTTTCGATTTTACTTTGATCGAATTTCTCCGGATTCAATGTCCCCGAAACACTATTGGGCGTGAATAGCGTGAATAGCCTTTTGGGCGATAAGTAGGCTTATTAATTCCGTGGAATTTCGGTGTTTTTTTTACGAAAACTTGATCCGGGGATGTCTGGCTGGGTGTCGAAGGGGTCTAGCCCGACCACTTTTCCCTTGCGTGTATGCGTATCGGCATACATGGTTTTTGATACTGTATATGAATCAGCCATATGGCGCGTTAATGTTTAAAATAAAAATAGACGTTATTTGTAATAAATTGTTACGTTAATAATTCCGCATACAATCGAATTCGGTCAATATTAAATACTAGTTGCGTGCTCATCACACGCGACTGGTTATAGCGGTCATTGAAATGCCTAAAATGGCTCTAACGCTGATCACAGGTATAAAAGGCAAGAAGATTCTACGATATTCATTGACGAATCATTTATTATTATTTACTACGTTCATTCCCATCCAAAATTCTTGGTACAGTTATACTATACGCGTTATAAAAATAGATCACTCGTGTTCGTCTGAAAGCTGCTAATACCAAAGTGTGTGTAGCTGAACATCCAGCAATTAAAGGGATTAAATCCCGTGTTACTCTAACGCGAGCGCAAGTTATCGACACAGAATATTATCTTATTAACGGTGATCGAGTTTCCAATTAACATACGTAATGTTTATATTGCATCTATATATTAAATTTAACCTAGTGCACGCAGGTAAAATTTCGGGTGGGAGCTTATCCGGATTTCCCAAAATTAATGGTCGTGTTTTTTTTTTGTTTTTTTTACGGTAACTTCAAAATACACGAAGTGATTTACAACGCGTTTCTACGAAAACATCAAGAATAAATATTACTATAGAAAAGAAAAAAATATATATGTACAACGCAAATAATATTATTATTGTTAACATTCCGTTCGTTCCACACGCTGCGGTCCCAAACTTAAAATATTATGAAACGTTCCTCGCGGGATATTTTATTTTATATCCTAAGAATACGGGAAATTATTTTATTTTTTATCAGACAAATTATTTTTGCGTTAAATCGCTAAAAAAAACATGACGTATCTTGAATTTTTCGGGAGGTGGAAGTTTAAAACTGACCGATTTTCTGCAACAATAGCGAAATGTATCAAAGAAAACGATTTCTTTTTGTTTTAGTAGTCAAAAATTCAATCGTTTTTAAAATCAAATAATATAATGATAGATATAAACAAAATATCAATACGGTTTATCTAGCCGGTATGTAGTTTCACGTATACGTTGTAAATAGCATCTAAATACGCAATTGAATATTACAGATTAATCGTATAGTATAATTAGAGAATAATAATTATTATATTTATATTATATTATATAATTATAATTATTATATTAAGGAATTTATAATTTATAAATCTGACTAAGACCAAAAATGTTTAAAATAGGTTTTTTTTTTCATGTTTTCGAAAATAGCTGTAATATTACACGACAATTATGGCACATCAAACCGTTTTCAACTTGTGTAATACTCTGTTTGTAAAATTAATTTGTTCGTACACCAGGCACGTACGCGGAACACCACGACCAAAGATATACAGACAGTTTATCGGTTGATGAAAAAAGTTTCCCACGCGGCCTTTATATGGTCAAACTACGAGATTTGGCTATTAAACAACGAGACTGCGCGCGCAGAGAGTGTCCCAAAAAGGTTAGGGGAAAACCGAATACAACGCTGGTTAGCTGGAAGTGTCTATTATACCAGTACAAAATTGGGTTTTTGTTGGTGCATTATTATTTTTTCTGTATCGTTTAGAAACGAACATGTTTTTTTCTCTTGCCGAAAACGATGTGTGACGAAAAACATGAGCAACGGATAAACGTAAAATTTTCTCGTTAAACTAAAAAAACTACAACTGAGTGCTATAAGTTGTTAAAAGAGGCCTATAGTGAGGATTTCCTACCTCGGGCGCGTGTTTTTGAGTGGCATAAATTATTTTCTGAAGGTTGAGAGTGCACCGGAATCCAATTCAGTCGTAATCCAAATTCAAAACCATGCTGATCGTTTTCTTCGATATCAACGGCATCGTGATGACTGAATGGTTCCAGAGGGTCAAACTGNCGACTTTTACTTCTTGGCACCCTGCGACTTTTACTTGTTTTCGAAGATAAAGTCTGCCTTAAAAGGAATCCGGTTTGACCCTGCGACTTTTACTTGTTTTCGAAGATAAAGTCTGCCTTAAAAGGAATCCGGTTTGAGTCGGCGACTTTTACTTGTTTTCGAAGATAAAGTCTGCCTTAAAAGGAATCCGGTTTGAGTCGATGGACTTTTACTTGTTTTCGAAGATAAAG